GGCTGGCTCAGGACCGACCGCGCCCGGACCGAGCCCCGGGGCTGCGGGCTCCGGCGGGGGCTCCTTTCATTCTTCTTTTGCGATTTTCATTTATGGAGTGAACTCCGATGGGAGAAGGCGCCCGCGTCCTGCTGCAAAGCGAGTCATCCCCAGTAACGACCCCCCCACCCCCCAACCCCGCCAGGTTTTGGTCAGATCAACGAATAGTTACTTTGAAAATATTATGCCAACGGGATTTACATATTAAAACCCTAGCTACCCCTTCCTCTGACATTCTCCTCTGATCCTGGAATTAAACCCCACTAGGATTTTCAAGGACTCGGAGGACGGTCCTTCCAAATAATCTCCTGGGTAGCATAGTTGTGATTGGGGGGAAAAAAAAAAGGAAAGAGAAATCTTCCGATCTAATTCGCGTCAGCTGTCTGGAAATGAGAAAGGGTTGAATCGAATTTGGGTTGGAGGAGACAGAGCACCGGAGCCTGGAAACTCTGGTTCTGTCTGCAACCTTGGGACCGGCCCTCACCGCCCCACTTAGCCGGCCTCGTCTGCCCAGTGACGGCCAGGTCCCCACCCAGCTCCAGAATTCTCAAATTCTAACCGAAGACTTTGTGATAAACAGAAAATATTTGCGGTACAGAAGTGCAGGATTTCTAATATGTTTTGACAATTAATTCAGAATTGTAGCGTAAGACATGCAAAATAAGGAGAAAAGAATGGAAAAACAGACATTTTACGTTTTGAAAAAAAATCTTTACTAATTGCTAACTGTACAAATGGCACAATATGTTTTCCGGGTTCTATTAATACAGAAAGTTAACTTTCTGCTATGCATATTAGTGTGCTTTTCAATAGCATAACAAGGCTTTCAGAAGTTACCCTTCCAGAAGGGGACTGGAAATGTAGCTCAGCGGCAGAGCCCATGCAAGATCAGTACTTGCAACTGTATTTCAGCTACTTTGAGATTTTTTATATCTAGAAAAGATTTCAGACATTTCTGTCTCCCTCCAGATTTTTGAAGATGAAGCATAACTGGCGTACAGTAGGTGGGCACAAGGTACAGTCCCATTCGCTGTTGTAATATGAGTAGATCCACCTAACTATGGACTCAAGGTGGAGAAAAACTGCAGCTCTGCTCTCTGTCGTATGGGTCCAGAGATGGCCACTGTATCACTTCTAATATCATAGATTGTTTTTTACCTGTTTTTGACGTTCAGGTAAACCAAACCATTACTATGATGCTTTTTAATTAATTTGTTTATTTTCTTATTTCTTGTGGTGCTGGGAATGAACCCATAGCCCAGCTCATGTCAGGCTACCTCAAGGACATCCCCTGCCTGGCCCCTATTATGTCTTCTTTTATGAGGAACTTCTTTTACTCAACATTATGTTTATGAGATGGCACATTGCCCTCTTTGGCAGTGGTTCTCTTTTTAAAAATTGATGGTTCCCATTCCTTGGTATGAGTGCACTTTACAATTGGTACCATTGTGCTTGTGTTCCAACCACTCTATCATTGAAAACATCTTTTATTTTGCTGGTAATAATGCTGCTATGAACGTACTTTTACGTACTTTTTGGTGGGAGTGAACATCTATTTCCCTTAGGATTATATCAGGAATGGAATTCTTGGGTCACAGGAAAGACATATATTCAGTTTTGGTAGATTCTGGCCCTTTCCAAAGTGGTTGTACCAGTTTACCTTACCACTAGCAACATATGCAGACCTCGTCTTCACACCTTTGCAAATGCTTGTTATTACGATTGTTTTAAATAAAATGAGAAGCTTAAAAGCTAGGACCTTAAAATGTTTAAAAGCTTCAAAAAATTCCTTGAATTGAGAGCCCCATTTCCCTTATATTGTAAGCATTAGCTTTCCTGAACAAT